CGTTAACTGGGGGACAGGTGAGACTCGTTAACTGGGGGACAGGTGAGACTCGTTAACAGGGGGACAGGTGAGACTCGTTAACTGGGGGACAGGTGAGACTCGTTAACAGGGGGACAGGTGAGACTCGTTAACTGGGGGACAGGTGAGACTCGTTAACAGGGGGACAGGTGAGACTCGTTAACTGAGGGACAGGTGAGACTCGTTAACAGGGGGACAGGTGAGACTCGTTAACTGAGGGACAGGTGAGACTCGTTAACGGGGACAGGTGAGACTCGTTAAGAGGGGGACAGGTGAGACTCGTTAACTGGGGGACAGGTGAGACTCGTTAACGGGGACAGGTGAGACTCGTTAACAGGGGGGACTCGTTAAGAGGGGGACAGGTGAGACTCGTTAAGAGGGGGGAGACTCGTTAAGAGGGGGGAGACTCGTTAAGAGGGGGAACAGGTGAGACTCGTTAAGAGGGGGGCAGGTGAGACTCGTTAAGAGGGGGGGAGACTCGTTAAGAGGGGGGACAGGTGAGACTCGTTAACGGGGGGACAGGTGAGACTCGTTGAGGGGGACAGGTGAGACTCGTTAACGGGGGGACAGGTGAGACTCGTTGAGGGGGACAGGTGAGACTCGTTAACGGGGACAGGTGAGACTCGTTAAGAGGGGGACAGGTGAGACTCGTTGAGGGGGACAGGTGAGACTCGTTAAGAGGGGGACAGGTGAGACTCGTTAACTGAGGGACAGGTGAGACTCGTTGAAGAGGGGGACAGGTGAGACTCGTTGACTGGGGGACAGGTAAGACTTGTTGAAGAGGGGGACAGGTGAGACTCGTTAACTTGGGGACAGGTGAGACTCGTTAACTGGGGGACAGGTGAGACTTGTTGAAGAGGGGGACAGGTGAGACTCGTTAACTGGGGGACAGGTAAGACTTGTTGAAGAGGGGGACAGGTGAGACTCGTTAACTGGGGGACAGGTGAGACTCGTTAACTGGGGGACAGGTGAGACTCGTTAACTGGGGGACAGGTGAGACTCGTTAACTGGGGGACAGGTGAGACTCGTTAACTGGGGGACAAGTGAGACTCGTTGAAGAGGGGGACAGGTGAGACTCGTTAACTGGGGGACAGGTAAGACTTGTTGAAGAGGGGGACAGGTGAGACTCGTTAACTGGGGGACAGGTGAGACTCATTAACTGGGGGACAGGTGAGACTCGTTAACTGGGGGACAGGTGAGACTCGTTAACAGGGGGACAGGTGAGACTCGTTAACTGGGGGACAGGTGAGACTCGTTAACTGGGGGACAGGTGAGACTCGTTAACTGGGGGACAGGTGAGACTCGTTAACTGAGGGACAGGTGAGACTCGTTAACAGGGGGACAGGTGAGACTCGTTAACTGAGGGACAGGTGAGACTCGTTAACGGGAACAGGTGAGACTCGTTAAGAGGGGGACAGGTGAGACTCGTTAACTGGGGGACAGGTGAGACTCGTTAACGGGGACAGGTGAGACTCGTTAAGAGGGGGACAGGTGAGACTCGTTGAAGAGGGGGGACAGGTGAGACTCGTTAACGGGGGGACAGGTGAGACTCGTTGAAGAGGGGGACAGGTGAGACTCGTTAAGAGGGGGACAGGTGAGACTCGTTAAGAGGGGGGACAGGTGAGACTCGTTAACTGGGGTACAGGTGAGACTCGTTGAAGAGGGGGACAAGTGAGACTTGTTGAAGAGGGGGACAGGTGAGACTCGTTAACTGGGGGACAGGTGAGACTTGTTGAAGAGGGGGACAGGTGAGACTCGTTAACAGGAGGACAGGTGAGACTCGTTAACTGAGGGACAGGTGAGACTCGTTAACGGGGACAGGTGAGACTCGTTAAGAGGGGGACAGGTGAGACTCGTTGAAGAGGGGGACAGGTGAGACTCGTTGAAGAGAGGGACAGGTGAGACTTGAGGTGAGGGGGACAGGTGAGACTCGTTAACGAGGACAGGTGAGACTCGTTAAGAGGGGGACAGGTGAGACTCGTTAAGAGGGGGACAGGTGAGACTCGTTGAGGGGGACAGGTGAGACTCGTTAAGAGGGGGACAGGTGAGACTCGTTAAGAGGGGGGACAGGTGAGACTCGTTAACTGGGGGACAGGTGAGACTCGTTGAAGAGGGGGACAGGTGAGACTCGTTAACTGGGGGACAGGTGCGACTCGTTAACTGGGGGACAGGTGAGACTCGTTAACAGGGGGACAGGTGAGACTCGTTAACTGAGGGACAGGTGAGACTCGTTAACGGGGACAGGTGAGACTCGTTAAGAGGGGGACAGGTGAGACTCGTTAACTGGGGGACAGGTGAGACTCGTTAACGGGGACAGGTGAGACTCGTTAAGAGGGGGACAGGTGAGACTCGTTGAAGAGGGGGGGACAGGTGAGACTCGTTAACGGGGGGACAGGTGAGACTCGTTGAAGAGGGGGACAGGTGAGACTCGTTAAGAGGGGGACAGGTGAGACTCGTTAAGAGGGGGGACAGGTGAGACTCGTTAACTGGGGGACAGGTGAGACTCGTTGAAGAGGGGGACAAGTGAGACTTGTTGAAGAGGGGGACAGGTGAGACTCGTTAACTGGGGGACAGGTGAGACTTGTTGAAGAGGGGGACAGGTGAGACTCGTTAACAGGGGGACAGGTGAGACTCGTTAAGAGGGGGACAGGTGAGACTCGTTAACTGAGGGACAGGGGAGACTCGTTAAGAGGGGGACAGGTGAGACTCGTTAACAGGGGGACAGGTGAGACTCGTTAAGAGGGGGACAGGTGAGACTCGTTAACTGAGGGACAGGGGAGACTCGTTAACTGAGGGACAGGTGAGACTCGTTAACGGGGACAGGTGAGACTCGTTAAGAGGGGGACAGGTGAGACTCGTTGAAGAGGGGGACAGGTGAGACTCGTTGAAGAGGGGGACAGGTGAGACTCGTTGAAGAGAGGGACAGGTGAGACTCGTTAAGAGGGGGACAGGTGAGACTCGTTGAAGAGGGGGACAGGTGAGACTCGTTGAAGAGGGGGACAGGTGAGACTCGTTGAAGAGGGGGACAGGTAAGACTCGTTAAGAGGGGGACAGGTGAGACTCGTTGAAGAGGGGGACAGGTGAGACTCGTTAAGAGGGGGACAGGTGAGACTCGTTGAAGAGGGGGACAGGTGAGACTCGTTAAGAGGGGGACAGGTGAGACTCGTTGAAGAGGGGGACAGGTGAGACTCGTTGAAGAGGGGGACAGGTGAGACTCGTTGAAGAGGGGGACAGGTGAGACTTGAGGTGAGTTCTGGATGTTCTTCACAGAGTTCAGGTCGTTAACACGTGTGGGATGAAACTAGAAGCTGCAGAGTATTGAGTCCATGATGAACCTGAGGAGGAGCTGCTGTCGAGCTGTTCTTCTGTTGTCGGGTCCTCAGTGATGAGTCGGGTCCTCAGTGATGAGTCGGGTCCTCAGTGATGAGTCGGGTCCTCAGTGATGAGTCGGGTCCTCAGTGATGAGTCCATGTCAGGTCCTCAGTGATGAGTCGGGTCCTCAGTGATGAGTCCATGTCAGGTCCTCAGTGATGAGTCGGGTCCTCAGTGATGAGTCCATGTCAGGTCCTCAGTGATGAGTCGGGTCCTCAGTGATGAGTCCATGTCAGGTCCTCAGTGATGAGTTGGGTCCTCAGTGATGAGTCCATGTCAGGTCCTCAGTGATGAGTCGGGTCCTCAGTGATGAGTCAGGTCCTCAGTGATGAGTCGGGTCCTCAGTGATGAGTCCATGTCAGGGTCCTCAGTGATGAGTCGGGTCCTCAGTGATGAGTCCATGGGTGCTTCTCAATCGCGAGTATGCTTGCTTGGTAGCACATGTCTGCCGAGCATCTTGCTTCAGAAGCGAGTCAAGAATACTTCCTGGCATTCAGAAAACAAAGAGTGGAACAGGCTAGCAAGTGTGCAGGTGTGCATCATATGAGAGGCCCCGCCTCCTTACATCTTCCACCACAGATTTGGGGAAATTGGTCCGTGCGCAAAGCGTTGTGGGGATTTTAAGACCGCGGAGTCTACTCATGTGCAGCCTCGATATTTCTCCAAACGGAGTACGCTGGGCTCGGTAGATTTCCAAGTATGCTGGAGATTGGAACAGTACTTCGGCGGCACTCGATGACGTAGTATGCTTGAAATAGTGGCTCTGAAGCAGCTTTACTCGCGATTGAGAAACACCCCATGTCAGGTCCTCAGTGATGAGTCGGGTCCTCAGTGATGAGTCCATGTCAGGTCCTCAGTGATGAGTCGGGTCCTCAGTGATGAGTCGGATCCTCAGTGATGAGTCCATGTCAGGTCCTCAGTGATGAGTCCATGTCAGGTCCTCAGTGATGAGTCCATGTCAGGTCCTGAGTGATGAGTCGGGTCCTCAGTGATGAGTCCATGTCAGGTCCTCAGTGATGAGTCGGGTCCTCAGTGATGAGTCGGGTCCTGAGTGATGAGTCGGGTCCTCAGTGATGAGTCGGGTCCTCAGTGATGAGTCCATGTCAGGTCCTCAGTGATGAGTCCATGTCAGGTCCTCAGTGATGAGTCCATGTCAGGTCCTCAGTGATGAGTCCATGTCAGGTCCTCAGTGATGAGTCCATGTCAGGTCCTCAGTGATGAGTCCATGTCAGGTCCTCAGTGATGTGGACACAGAGGAACCTGGAGCTGCTGACTCTCCACCGTAGTCCCATTGAAAGGGATGGGGGCGTGTCCCTCTCTCTGCTGCTTCCTGTAATCAGCTCCTCATTATATATTAAATATTGAATGTGATATATAATATTATATATATTATAATATATGACATTATATATTTTAATATATGACATAAATATTAAATATATAATGTCATATAATAATATATGACATTATATATTATATTATATTAAATGTCTTCTTTGTTGTGACACACCGGCGGCAGGGCGGAGCAGTAACTGCGCATGCTCAGTGTGATGATTCACACAGAATCTCAGCATCTCCACTGATGACAAAGGGTCCTCCGGGGAGACGCGCCGCGCGTAACCGCGTCCTCTGCTCTACTGCTGCTGCGGACACACACAGTGAGACAGAGAGATACAGTGAGACACAGAGAGACAGACAGACACAGAGAGACAGTGAGACAGAGAGAGACAGTGAGAAACAGAGAGACAGGTGGTGTGACGGGAGAATGCTCGCGGCGGGCAGCTCGCGGTGATTATCGGGTCTTTGGAGCATCGCGCGGACACCATGAGCTGTAACTGGGGCACTGAGCTGTGGGTAGGTACACATGCACGAGCATATTACCATCAGGACTGCACGGGAACCGGCGTGCGTTATGTGTGTGCATTTGCATGTGTGTGTGTTTGTGTGTTTTTTTGCGTGTGTGCATTTGCATGTTTGTGTGTGTGCATTTGCATGTGTGTGTGTGTGTGTAGCCCTCATGCTTCTGTCGGCTCTGCCATAGCAACACGGTGAGTGACGTCAGCTCCGTCCATGATGCTGCAGCCCCCCCACAAACGGTCCTTATTGCCCCCCCCCCCCTCAGTGTTTATAGACATGAGTCTGATAGAAGAATATTCAGACTTTGAAATGTAAAATAAATATTTGAATTATCGTAAATTCAAACACAATCATTGAGCGGCGAGGGATCATACATGATAAGTTATACTGCCTTACGCACGCTTATTACATGGCTCAGCTGAATACTCCATCATTGCTGCAAAATGTAAATACTAAAGGGAACAGTAGAAGCAGACAGGAAGTGAACACTAAAGGGAACAGTAGAAGCAGACAGGAAGTGAACACTAAAGGGAACAGTAGAAGCAGACAGGAAGTGAACACTAAAGGGAACAGTAGAAGCAGACAGGAAGTGAACACTAAAGGGAACAGTAGAAGCAAGCTGAGCTTTCAAAAATCATCTCAGCTATGACCTCATCTAGCTGCGCCCTTGATCCTATCCCCACCTCCCTACTGAAAACCTGCTCTCCATCCATTATTCCAACTGCCACCATCATAATAAACAAATCCTTGTTGAGTGGTGAGGTCCCCCCCTCCCTCAAGCTGGCAGCCATCAGACCTGTCCTGAAGAAGCACAATCTGGATCCTGAGGTACTCACAAACTACCGCCCCATCTCAAACCTGCCTTTTCTAGCAAAAGTTCTGGAAAAAGTTGTTGCCCTTCAGCTTCACGAACATCTCCACACTCATGAGCTCTATGAAACCTTCCAGTCTGGTTTCAGACCAGCTCACAGCACTGAAACAGCTCTGGTCAGGGTTCTAAATGACCTGCTGATGGCGGCTGACTCTGGTTCCCCAAGCCTACTCATCTTGCTGGACTTAAGTGCAGCATTTGACACTGTTGACCATCGCATCATGTGTCGGCGACTCCAGGAGGTGGGAATCGCTGGCAAGGCTCTGGACTTTTTCCACTCGTACCTCACAGGAAGACAGGAATATGTCCGTCTTGGAAAAAGCACCTCCGACACACACTGTGTCACCTCTGGTGTACCCCAAGGGTCAGTCCTTGGGCCAGTGCTCTTTTTAATTTACATGTTGCCCCTGGGACAAATACTGAGGAGCCATAACATCAGCTTCCACACATATGCTGATGACACACAGATTTATTTCCAAACTGCCCCGGATAAACATCTGGCACTTTCAAATGTCTCAAGATGCCTGGAACACATACACTACTGGATGAGCAACAACTCCCTCCAACTGAACAGCAGCAAATCAGAGGCCATTCTGATTGGATCACCACATCAACAAACTGATATCCCTCATATCAGCATCAATGGCCACTCCATTCCCCTCTCCCCTTGTAACGAGCCTAGGTGTGAAACTGGACTCATCCCTTTCATTCCAAGCACACATAAAGACGGTCTGCCAAGCCTCATACTACCACCTGAGGAACATCTCCAAAATGCGACACTCCCTCACCAAACCGGATGCAGAAAAACTGCTCCATGCCTTCATCACCTCCCGCATTGATTACTGCAATTCTCTGCTTGCAGGCATTTCAGCAAAAACCACTCAGAGACTACAATATGTTCAAAACTGTGCCGCCCGGATACTCACAAAAACACGCAAATCAGAGCACATCACCCCCATCCTTCACTCACTCCACTGGCTCCCTGTAACCCACCGGATTAACTACAAAGTCCTCATAATGGTCTTCAACGCCATCAACCACACTGGCCCCACCTACCTACAGGACCTGCTCACCAGAAAACAGTCCCATACCTCACGCACACTCAGGTCAGACAGCTCCAATCTCCTGGCTGTCCCGCGGACAAAACATACGGACCTCAGCATCAGACCCACCTTTTCCACACCGCATTTTACTGACTGTCCTTCACTTTATTTATTTATTTATTTTTTAAACCTTCTATGCTCTTAACCTTTTATTTGGATTTATTTTCTATTGCCATATTTGATCCAATATGCTCCTTTTAGATCACTTTTTACTTATTGTTCCTTATAGCTTTGTGAAGCACCTTGAGATGACGTTGTCTTTAAAGTGTGCTATATAAATCAAATGTATTATTATTATAATAGTTACAGTAAACCTGGATCAGAGCTGCAGTCAGTCTAAGTTACGGTGTTGCTTCAGTCTAAGTTACGTTGTTGCTTCAGTCTAAGTTACGGTGTTGCTTCAGTCTAAGTTACGGTGTTGCTTCAGTCTAAGTTACGGTGTTGCTTCAGTCTAAGTTACGTTGTTGCTTCAGTCTAAGTTACGGTGTTGCTTCAGTCTAAGTTACGGTGTTGCTTCAGTCTAAGTTACGGTGTTGCTTCAGTCTAAGTTACGTTGTTGTTGTCTCAGTTCAGGCGCTGGTTCGATCATTTTGAAGTCAATAAAGTGACTATTGGGGGTCGTTGGTTTGTTGAGTATGTGTCCAGGTGATGAACCCCTGTCTTCTTACATTATTAAGGACCGCCTCCCTGCACATGATCCCTTACTTACTTTGAATCACTGTAATGAGGCTGTGTGGGAAACTGAACTGATGTCTTTTTCAGGATCAGTTCGATAACTTAGAGAAACACACCAGCTGTGGGATCGACTTCCTGGAGAGATACAGCAAGTTCCTGAGAGAGAGGGCGGACATTGAGCTGAGCTACGCCAAGCAGATCAGGTACCATCTATACCTCCATACGTATAATATCATATAATGTAATATATTATAATGTTCCACAGCTCCCTCAGAGTCTCTGCAGTGCTTCTTGACTCAGATGTCCTAACCCTAACCCTTCTTGACTCAGATGTCCTAACCCTAACCCTTCTTGACTCAGATGTCCTAACCCTAACCCTTCTTGACTCAGATGTCCTAACCCTAACCCTTCTTGACTCAGATGTCCTAACCCTAACCCTTGTTGACTCAGATGTCCTAACCCTAACCCTTCTTGACTCAGATGTCCTAACCCTAACCCTTCTTGACTCAGATGTCCTAACCCTAACCCTTCTTGACTCAGATGTCCTAACCCTAACCCTTCTTGACTCAGATGTCCTAACCCTAACCCTTCTTGACTCAGATGTCCTAACCCTAACCCTTGTTGACTCAGATGTCCTAACCCTAACCCTTCTTGACTCAGATGTCCTAACCCTAACCCTTGTTGACTCAGATGTCCTAACCCTAACCCTTCTTGACTCAGATGTCCTAACCCTTCTTGACTCAGATGTCCTAACCCTAACCCTTCTTGACTCAGATGTCCTAACCCTAACCCTTCTTGACTCAGATGTCCTAACCCTAACCCTTCTTGACTCAGATGTCCTAACCCTAACCCTTCTTGACTCAGATGTCCTAACCCTAACCCTTCTTGACTCAGATGTCCTAACCCTAACCCTTCTTGACTCAGATGTCCTAACCCTAACCCTTCTTGACTCAGATGTCCTAACCCTAACCCTTGTTGACTCAGATGTCCTAACCCTTCTTGACTCAGATGTCCTAACCCTTCTTGACTCAGATGTCCTAACCCTAACCCTTCTTGACTCAGATGTCCTAACCCTAACCCTTCTTGACTCAGATGTCCTAACCCTTCTTGACTCAGATGTCCTAACCCTAACCCTTCTTGACGCAGATGTCCTAACCCTAACCCTTCTTGACTCAGATGTCCTAACCCTAACATAGTCGTTTTCAGACATGTTGTCTCTGATTGTCTCCATCCTCCTTTGTTTCGCTCACTTTTCCTCCGGTTTCCATCCAAAACTAGTGACCACCATCTCCACCTGATCTGTCTCTGTGATGCTCTCTGTCCTCTGTCTGTCTCTGTGATGCACTCTGTCCTCTGTCTGTCTCTCACCTGTCTGTCTCTGTGATGCTCTCTGTCCTCTGTCTGTCTCTCACCTGTCTCTCTCTCACCTGTCTGTCTCTGTGATGCACTCTGTCCTCTGTCTGTCTCTGTGATGCACTCTGTCCTCTGTCTGTCTCTCACCTGTCTGTCTCTGTGATGCACTCTGTCCTCTGTCTGTCTCTGTGATGCACTCTGTCCTCTGTCTCTCTCTCACCTGTCTGTCTCTGTGATGCACTCTGTCCTCTGTCTGTCTCTGTGATGCACTCTGTCCTCTGTCTGTCTCTCACCTGTCTGTCTCTGTGATGCTCTCTGTCCTCTGTCTGTCTCTCACCTGTCTCTCTCTCACCTGTCTGTCTCTGTGATGCACTCTGTCCTCTATCTCTCTCTCACCTGTCTGTCTCTGTGATGCACTCTGTCCTCTGTCTGTCTCTCACCTGTCTCTCTGTCCTCTGTCTGCCTCTGTGATGCTCTCTGTCCTCTGTCTGTCTCTCACCTGTCTCTCTCTCACCTGTCTGTCTCTGTGATGCACTCTGTCCTCTGTCTGTCTCTCACCTGTCTCTCTCTCACCTGTCTGTCTCTGTGATGCTCTCTGTCCTCTGTCTGTCTCTCACCTGTCTCTCTCTCACCTGTCTGTCTCTCACCTGTCTCTCTCTCACCTGTCTGTCTCTGTGATGCACTCTGTCCTCTGTCTGTCTCTGTGATGCTCTCTGTCCTCTGTCTCTCTCTCACCTGTCTCTCTCTCACCTGTCTGTCTCTCACCTGTCTGCCTCTCACCTGTGTGCCTCTCACCTGTCTGTCTCTCACCTGTCTGTCTCTGTGATGCTCTCTGTCCTCTGTCTGTCTCTGTGATGCACTCTGTCCTCTGTCTCTCTCTCACCTGTCTGTCTCTCACCTGTCTCTCTCTCACCTGTGTGCCTCTCACCTGTCTCTCTCTCACCTGTCTCTCTCTCACCTCTGTCTCTCACCTGTCTCTCTCTCACCTGTCTGTCTCTGTGATGCACTCTGTCCTCTGTCTCTCTCTCACCTGTCTCTCTCTCACCTGTCTGTCTCTCACCTGTCTCTCTCTCACCTGTGTGCCTCTCACCTGTCTCTCTCTCACCTGTCTCTCTCTCACCTGTCTGTCTCTCACCTGTCTCTCACCTGTGTGCCTCTCACCTGTCTGTCTCTCACCTGTCTCTCTCTCACCTGTCTGTCTCTGTGATGCTCTCTGTCCTCTGTCTCTCTCTCACCTGTCTCTCTCTCACCTGTTTGTCTCTCACCTGTCTGTCTCTGTGATGCACTCTGTCCTCTGTCTGTCTCTCGCCTGTCTGTCTCTCGCCTGTCTGCCTCTCACCTGTCTGCCTCTCACCTGTCTGCCTCTCACCTGTCTCTCTCTCACCTGTCTCTCTCTCACCTCTGTCTCTCACCTGTCTCTCTCTCACCTGTCTGTCTCTGTGATGCACTCTGTCCTCTGTCTCTCTCTCACCTGTCTCTCTCTCACCTGTCTGTCTCTCACCTGTCTCTCTCTCACCTGTGTGCCTCTCACCTGTCTCTCTCTCACCTGTCTCTCTCTCACCTGTCTGTCTCTCACCTGTCTCTCACCTGTGTGCCTCTCACCTGTCTGTCTCTCACCTGTCTCTCTCTCACCTGTCTGTCTCTGTGATGCTCTCTGTCCTCTGTCTCTCTCTCACCTGTCTCTCTCTCACCTGTTTGTCTCTCACCTGTCTGTCTCTGTGATGCACTCTGTCCTCTGTCTGTCTCTCGCCTGTCTGTCTCTCGCTTGTCTGCCTCTCACCTGTCTGCCTCTCACCTGTCTGCCTCTCACCTGTCTGTCTCTCAACTCTCTCTCTCACCTGTCTGCCTCTCACCTGTCTGCCTCTCACCTGTCTGCCTCTCACCTGTCTGTCTCTCAACTGTCTCTCTCTCACCTGTCTGCCTCTCACCTGTCTGCCTCTCACCTTTCTGTCTCTCACCTGTCTGTCTCTCACCTGTCTGCCTCTCACCTTTCTGTCTCTCACCTGTCTGCCTCTCACCTGTCTGTCTCTCACCTGTCTGCCTCTCACCTGTCTGTCTGCAGGAGCCTGTCTAAGAAGTACCACCCGAAGAGGAGCAGAGAGGATGAGAGCAGGTCAGTCAACGTGTTTCTTCTTTAATATTTTTATGAATCTAATGTTTGAGATTTCATTCAGAGATATCCAGTTAATACAGAGAATCTGGAGCCACAGCTGCTCTCTGATTGGTTGTTACAGGTACATTTGCTCTCTGATTGGTTGTTACAGGTACAGCTGCTCTCTGATTGGTTGTTACAGGTACAGCTGCTCTCTGATTGGTTGTTACAGGTACAGCTGGTGTCTGGCGTTTGCAGCAACTCTCCGGCAGCTGAATGAACTCTCGGTTCAGAGAGAAGAGTTCGCTGAAAACCTGAACACACAGATCGTCTGTGAGCTGACACGATACACACAGGAAGTGAAGACTGAGAGGAAGAATGTGAGTAAACACACACACACACACACACACACACACACACACACACACACACACACACACACACACACACACACACACACACACACACATACACACACACACACACACACACACACACACACACATACCATGTATACATCACTTCAGGGGACATTACATTGACTTACATGCATTTTCTGGAGACTTATCCTAACCCTAACCCTAACCAAGTCTTCACCCTAAAATGAATGATTCTCCATTGTGTCCCCATAAGGGAGGCGAGTCCCCATACGTGACTGTGTAAACAGATTTAGGTCCCCACAAGTATAGTAATGCTAGGCCACACACACACACACGCACACACACACACACACACACACACACACACACACACACATACACACACACACACACACACACACACACACACACACACACACACACACACACACATACACACACATACACATACACATACACACACACACACACACTGGTTAAAACTGGGTCACTAACACACACTCAGTGTTCAGAGCTGCTGGGTGGAAGTAATGTAAAGCTGAAGAGTGTGCGTGTGTTTGTGTGTGTGTGTGTGTTATAAGTAGATCTCCACTTTCCAGAATAATTCATCCAAAAGCAGCTGACTTAGAAAATAAAGAAATAAAGGCCAATAATATGAATGTCTGAACTGACTGACTGCAGTGTCCCTGGCCAATAAACCAATACATCCATAAGTGACACATTGTGACACATTGTGACACAGAGTGAGAGAGAGTGACAAAGTGACACATAGGCTGCGTCTCACTTCGGCTATTTTCATTTCCTCGCTCCTCGGTCTCGGTCTCACCGGAAGTTGATTTGTCTGCGCCATCTTGAGGAGCGTCCCATGGCTCTTATTTCTGCCAGAGGAGCGAGGAGCGAGGAGCGATAATGGAGGAGCAAGGAGTGAGGAGCGAGGAGCGATAACCGAGGAGCGAGGAGCGATAATGGAGGAGCGATAACCGAGGAACCACCAGACCATCCTCCGGTGAAATCCTCAGCCACTCGCCCCGCCCCCTTACTGTGTATCGCTCACTGATTGGACGATGCAGCGCACTGATCTGATGCTTCTTGACATGAGAGCAGTTTCCCAGCGGAGTGAAGAAAACACATGAAACTCACGGGACTCACTCCTCAGTTCATACTGGGTTCTGTTTCAATGAATGCATCATTCAGTTACAAATATGTGATATATCTGAACAACTAAGTGGACAACAATCATTTTATTCATTTATTGGAAACATTTTCATGATCGCTTTTTCGTTTTACATTTTCATTTATTGTCATTTCCATTCAGTCAGTCATTAAGTGCTATTTAACATGTTAATGTGCTACATATCCACACAAACAGACACAGTGTGCAATCCAATGAATGTTCATCTAACTGGGTTTTGATAGATAACATATCTCTTTTTCTTCTCTGAATTATTTTATTTCTATTGTGCACTCTAATCAATATTAATCCAACTATTGTTCGTTTATACATTTTAAGAATGGCGTTTATCTTTTTTGAGAATGAGTTCTTATTTAATGTATTTGGGTCTACAACAGATGATACAAATGTTTGTGTCAGTAAATGTGTACTAACAGAGGCGGGGGTGTTTGTGAAAATAACGGGGACAGAGCTGCTGTCAGACGATCAGCTGTGCAGCGTCATCACAAACGGACGTGGCTTCACGTGACGCTCCGGAGGAAAGGACGTCCCATTGCTCTGAAAACTCATTTCCCTGCTTCTCGTGGTTTCCTTCGTCTCTCCATGCTTCCTGGTGGGAGGGACGCAGGGAAACCACGCAAGAGAGGGACGCAAGGAATCCATTTAATCAAAGTGAAACGCAGCCAAAGTGACACATAGTGACACAGTGACAGAGAGTGACACAGAGTGACACAGAGTGACACAGAGTGACACAAAGTGACGCAGAGTGACACAGAGTGACAGAGAGTGACACAGAGTGACACAGAGTGACACAGAGTGACAGAGAGTGACAGAGAGTGACACAGAGTGACACAGAGTGACAGAGAGTGACACAGAGTGACACAGAGTGACAGAGAGTGACGCAGAGTGACGCAAAGTGACGCAGAGTGACGCAGAGTGACGCAGAGTGACACAGAGTGACAGAGAGTGACACAGAGTGACACAGAGTGACACAGAGTGACAGAGAGTGACGCAGAGTGAAGCAGAGTGACGCAGAGTGACGCAGAGTGACACAGTGACACAGAGTGACACAGTGACAGAGAGTGACACAGTGACACAGAGTGACACAGTGACACAGAGTGACACAGTGACAGAGAGTGACACAGTGACAGAGAGTGACACAGAGTGACACAGTGACACAGAGTGACACAGTGACACAGAGTGACACAGTGACAGAGAGTGACACAGAGTGACACAGTGACACAGAGTGACAGAGTGACACAGAGTGACGCAAAGTGACGCAGAGTGACGCAGTGACGCAGAGTGACGCAGAGTGACGCAAAGTGACGCAGAGTGACGCAGAGTGACGCAGAGTGACGCAGGGTGACGCAGAGTGACACAGAGTGACACAGAGTGACACGCAGAGTGACACGCAGAGTGACACGCAGAGTGACACAGAGTGACACATAGTGACACAGAGTGACACAGAGTGACACAGAGTGACGCAGAGTGACACAGTGTGTGGGATAACTCTGTCACATGGATTTGTTATTTTCCAGCATTTCCAAGATGGACGGCGTGCACAGCAGCACATTGAGGGCTCCTGGAAACAACTGGAGTCTGTGAGTGTTACCTGTACCTGTGAATATAACCCCACCCACTCTCTCCTGACTCCTCCTAACAACATGGACGAGTTTAGACTCCATCCATTAACACAGTAACAGCACGTATTGTTTACACAGTAATATATGTGTGTGTGTTGTTCACCTGTTGTCCAGAGTAAGCGCCGGTTTGAGCGTGACTGTAAGGAAGCGGAGCGAGCCCAACAGGTGTCCGACAGAATCGACCTCGACAACAAGACGGACGGAGAGAAGGTGCCTGAACATAAACATTAATATAAAATAACAGTGGAGCCAATCGATTAAAATGTCATCGCAACAATAGTCTGTGAATAACTATGGTTTATTATACTAATCTTTCTGTCTGTCTGTCTGTCTGTCTGTCTCTCTGTCTGTCTGTCTGTCTCTCTGTCTGTCTCTCTGTCTGTCTGTCTGTCTGTCTGTCTGTCTGTCTGTCTGTCTGTCTGTCTGTCTGTCTGTCTGTCTCTCTGTCTGTCTCTCTGTCTCTCTGTCTGTCTGTCTGTCTGTCTGTCTGTCTGTCAGCGCTGCTCACTAAAAGTAAGTCCTTTTACACATTTATTTTTTGTAACGATTTAAATAGTTTTTAAAGTATTATGAACTCTCCAAGAGACGCTCAGAGTCTCTTGTTAGTGACTTGTTGATGATGTCCATCAGTGGTGTTGGAAAATGGTCTAAAATATTTTGGATGGGACAACAAACAACTACCTTCGGCAAAGTGTGGTTGTGTTTTCCAACAGTGTAGCGCCAAGATGCTAACGTGGTGTTTGTTTGCATCCGGTGCATTGACCTCCCCGGCTGCTGGAGTTATCTCATGTGTTCAGTCTGCGTTGTTTGGCTTGTTTTGTCATTAACTCGTCTCAGGCTCGTCAGACGGCTCAACAGAAAAAACAAGCTGCCGAGGAATCGAGGAAAGATTATGTGACCAGTCTAAACCAGTTCAACCAGGACCAGCACCAGCACTACCACACACTGGTGCCAGTTATATACCAGGTAAACCAGCACTACCACACACTGGTGCCAGTTATATACCAGGTAAACCAGCACTACCACACACTGGTGCCAGTTATATACCAGGTAAACCAGCACTACCACACTGGTGCTAGTTATATACCAGGTAAACCAGCACTACCACACACTGGTGCTAGTTATATACCAGGTAAACCAGCACTACCACACACTGGTGCCAGTTATATACCAGGTAAACCAGCACTACCACACACTGGTGCTAGTTATATACCAGGTAAACCAGCACTACCACACACTGGTGCCAGTTATATACCAGGTAAACCAGCACTACTACACACTGGTGCCAGTTATATACCAGGTAAACCAGCACTACCACACACTGGTGCCAGTTATATACCAGGTAAACCAGCACTACCACACACTGGTGCCAGTTATATACCAGGTAAACCAGCACTACCACACACTGGTGCCAGTTATATACCAGGTAAACCAGCACTACCACACACTGGTGCCAGTTATATACCAGGTAAACCAGCACTACTACACACTGGTGCCAGTTATATACCAGGTAAACCAGCACTACCACACACTGGTGCCAGTTATATACCAGGTAAACCAGCACTACCACACACTGGTGCCAGTTATATACCAGGTAAACCAGCACTACCACACACTGGTGCCAGTTATATACCAGGTAAACCAGCACTACCACACACTGGTGCCAGTTATATACCAGGTAAACCAGCACTACTACACACTGGTGCCAGTTATATACCAGGTATACCAGCACTACCACACTGGTGCTAGTTATATACCAGGTAAACCAGCACTACCACACACTGGTGCCAGTTATATACCAGGTAAACCAGCACTACTACACACTGGTGCCAGTTATATACCAGGTATACCAGCACTACTACACACTGGTGCTAGTTATATACCAGGTAAACCAGCACTACCACACTGGTGCTAGTTATATACCAGGTAAACCAGCACTACTACACACTGGTGCTAGTTATATACCAGGTAAACCAGCACTACCACACACTGGTGCTAGTTATATACCAGGTATACCAGCACTACTACACACTGGTGTTAGTTATATAACAGGTAAACCAGCACTACCACACACTGGTGCCAGTTATATACCAGGTATACCAGCACTACTACACACTGGTGCCAGTTATATACCAGGTAAACCAGCACTACTACACACTGGTGCCAATTATATACCAGGTATACCAGCACTACCACAAACTGGTGCCAGTTATATACCAGGTAAACCAGCACTACTACACACTGGTGCCAGTTATATACCAGGTAAACCAGCACTACTACACACTGGTGCCAGTTATATACCAGGTAAACCAGCACTACCACACACTGGTGCCAGTTATATACCAGGTAAACCAGCACTACTACACACTGGTGCCAATTATATACCAGGTATACCAGCACTACCACAAACTGGTGCCAGTTATATACCAGGTAAACCAGCACTACTACACACTGGTGCTAGTTATATACCAGGTAAACCAGCACTACTACACACTGGTGCCAGTTATATACCAGGTAAACCAGCACTACCACACACTGGTGCCAGTTATATACCAGGTAAACCAGCACTACTACACACTGGTGCTAGTTATATACCAGGTAAACCAGCACTACTACACACTGGTGCCAGTTATATACCAGGTAAACCAGCACTACCACACACTGGTGCCAGTTATATACCAGGTAAACCAGCACTACTACACACTGGTGCCAGTTATATACCAGGTAAATCAGCACTACCACAAACTGGTGCCAGTTACATACCAGGTAAACCAGCACTACCACACACTGGTGCCAGTTATATACCAGGGAAACCAGCACTACTACACACTGGTGATAGTTATATACCAGGTAAACCAGCACTACTACACACTGGTGCCAGTTATATACCAGGTAAACCAGCACTACCACACACTGGTGCCAGTTATATACCAGGTAAACCAGCACTACTACACACTGGTGCTAGTTATATACCAGGTAAACCAGCACTACTACACACTGGTGCCAGTTATATACCAGGTAAACCAGCACTACCACACACTGGTGCCAGTTATACACCAGGTAAACCAGCACTACTACACACTGGTGCCAGTTATATACCAGGTAAACCAGCATTACCACACACTGGTGCTAGTTATATACCAGGTAAACCAGCACTACCACACTGGTGCCAGTTATATACCAGGTATACCAGCACTACTACACACTGGTGCCAGTTATATACCAGGTAAACCAGTACTACTACACACTGGTGCCAGTTATATACCAGGTAAACCAGTACTACTACACACTGGTGCCAGTTATATACCAGGTAAACCAGCACTACTACACACTGGTGCCAATTATATACCAGGTATACCAGCACTACCACACACTGGTGCTAGTTATATACCAGGTAAACCAGCACTACTACACACTGGTGCCAGTTATATACCAGGTAAACCAGCACTACTACACACTGGTGCCAGTTATATACCAGGTAAACCAGCACTACCACACACTGGTGCTAGTTATATACCAGGTAAACCAGCACTACTACACACTGGTGCCAGTTATATACCAGGTAAACCAGCACTACTACACACTGGTGCTAGTTATATACCAGGTAAACCAGCACTACTACACACTGGTGCCAATTATATACCAGGTATACCAGCACTACCACACACTGGTGCTAGTTATATACCAGGTAAACCAGCACTACTACACACTGGTGCCAGTTATATACCAGGTAAACCAGCACTACTACACCACTGGTGCCAGTTATATACCAGGTAAACCAGCACTACTACACACTGGTGCCAGTTATATACCAGGTAAACCAGCACTACTACACACTGGTGCCAGTTATATACCAGGTAAACCAGCACTACCACACACTGGTGCCAGTTATATACCAGGTAAACCAGCACTACTACACACTGGTGCCAATTATATACCAGGTAAACCAGCACTACCACACACTGGTGCCAGTTATATACCAGGTAAACCACCACTACTACACACTGGTGCTAGTTATATACCAGGTAAACCAGCACTACTACACACTGGTGCCAGTTATATACCAGGTAAACCAGCACTACCACACACTGGTGCCAGTTATATACCAGGTAAACCAGCACTACTACACACTGGTGCTAGTTATATACCAGGTAAACCAGCACTACTACACACTGGAGCCAGTTATATACCAGGTAAACCAGCACTATCACACACTGGTGCCAGTTATATACCAGGTAAACCAGCACTACTACACACTGGTGCCAGTTATATACCAGGTAAATCAGCACTACCACAAACTGGTGCCAGTTACATACCAGGTAAACCAGCACTACCACACACTGGTGCCAGTTATATACCAGGTAAACCAGCACTACTACACACTGGTGATAGTTATATACCAGGTAAACCAGCACTACTACACACTGGTGCCAGTTATATACCAGGTAAACCAGCACTACCACACACTGGTGCCAGTTATATACCAGGTAAACCAGCACTACTACACACTGGTGCTAGTTATATACCAGGTAAACCAGCACTACTACACACTGGTGCCAGTTATATACCAGGTAAACCAGCACTACCACACACTGGTGCCAGTTATATACCAGGTAAACCAGCAACTACCACACACTGGTGCCAGTTATACACCAGGTAAAACCAGCACTACTACAACACTGGTGCCAGTTATATACCAGGTAAAACCAGCACTACTACACACTGGTGCTAGTTTATATACCAGGTAAACCAGCACTACCACACTGGTGCCAGTTATATACCAGGTTATACCAGCACTACTACACACTGGTGCCAGTTATATACCAGGTAAACCAGTACTACTACACACTGGTGCCAGTTATATACCAGGTAAACCAGTACTACTACACACTGGTGCCAGTTATATACCAGGTAAACCAGCACTACTACACACTGGTGCTAGTTATATACCAGGTAAACCAGCACTACTACACACTGGTGCTAGTTATATACCAGCTAAACCAGCACTACCACACACTAGTGCCAGTTATATACCAGGTAAACCAGCACTACTACACACTGGTGCTAGTTATATACCAGGTAAACCAGCACTACCACACACTGGTGCCAGTTACATACCAGGTAAACCAGCACTACCACACACTGGTGCCAGTTATATACCAGGTAAACCAGCACTACTACACACTGGTGCCACTTATATACCAGGTAAACCAGCACTACTACACACTGGTGCCAGTTATATACCAGGTAAACCAGCACTACTACACACTGGTGCCAGTTATATACCAGGTAAACCAGCACTACCACACACTGGTGCCAGTTATATACCAGGTAAACCAGCACTACTACACACTGGTGCCAATTATATACCAGGTAAACCAGCACTACCACACACTGGTGCCAGTTATATACCAGGTAAACCAGCACTACTACACACTGGTGCTAGTTATATACCAGGTAAACCAGCACTACTACACACTGGTGCCAGTTATATACCAGGTAAACCAGCACTACTACACACTGGTGCCAGTTATATACCAGGTAAACCCAGCACTACTACACACTGGTGCCAGTTATATACCAGGTAAACCAGCACTACTACACACTGGTGCCATTATATACCAGGTAACCAGCACTACCACAACTGGTGCCATTTATTACCAGGTAACCAGCACTACTACACACTGGTGCCAGTTATATACCAGGTAACCAGCACTACTACACACTGGTGCTAGTTATATACCAGGTAAACCAGCACTACTACACACTGGTGCCAGTTATATACCAGGTAAACCAGCACTACCACACACTGGTGCCAGTTATATACCAGGTAAACCAGCACTACTACCACTACACTGGTGCTAGTTATATACCAGGTAAACCCAGCACTACTACACACTGGTGCCAGTTATACCAGGTAAACCAGCACTACCCACACTGGTGCCAGTTATATACCAGGTAAATCA